CCATTATTGCATATTAATGACGACAGTTGTAACATTGGTGTGCAGGCTGTCCTCGTCAGCTAGAAAAACCAATAGTCCTACCAGAGCAACCGCTCCTATCCGCAGAAGATCTACCGTGGCTGATAGGAAGTCCGAAAGCTCAGAAAAAACGATTCAAGTTCTGGCAACGAACTCTAGAACGAACAAAAAGTCTCCGTTGGATCTTGGCAAACTCCTTTAAAGACGAATATGATGATGTCAACAATCACATATCCTCCTACAAAATGTCTAAGAGTTTCAACAAAGAAAACAATGGTCAAAACCCTCAAATCCTTCACTTATTATGCCCATTGCATAACCAAGAAGCAACAAATAATATAGCTATAACCAAGACTAGTTTTTGGGAAGAAGACATATCTTGTCTTGGTTGGCTTCAAGAACAAAATCCAAACTCAGTCATTTATATCTCATTTGGAAGTTGGGTTTCTCCTATAGGAGAATCAAATATTCAAACGTTGGCATTGGCGATAGAAGCTTCCGGGAGACCTTTTCTTTGGGCGCTAAACCGAGTGTGGCAAGAGGGACTTCCACCAGGGTTCGTGCATAGAGTCACAATCACCAAAAACCAAGGAAGGATCGTCTCATGGGCTCCGCAACTTGAAGTTCTTAGAAACGATTCTGTGGGATGTTACGTGACTCATTGTGGTTGGAACTCAACAATGGAGGTACATATATCACTAGTATAATCATCTAACATGTATTATATGATTATGGTAGCCACTATATAAATACTGTGCCATTAATTTTGATTCATTGTTTGTACAATAGGCGGTGGCAAGTTCTAGGAGGCTGCTATGTTATCCGGTGGCTGGAGACCAGTTTGTGAACTGTAAATACATCGTAGACGTGTGGAAGATTGGGGTGAGATTGAGCGGGTTTGGAGAGAAAGAGGTTGAAGATGGACTAAGGAGAGTAATGGAGGATAAAGATATGGGTGAGAGCTTGGAGAAGTTAAGAGATAGAGCAATGGGGAATGAAGCTCGTTTGAGTTCGGAAATGAATTTTACACTTTTTAAAAATGAGATTAAATAGACGATCGAAGACGTATCATGATGTCTATATTTTCATTATTTTCACTTCAAAATAAGTACGTGAAAATGCAAAGTATTTTCGAACAACTTAAATCAAGAGTTGTTTTTAATTCAACGATTGAAGTTTTTATTTGGTTAAATATTTGGTATGAAGCCTTAGTGGGAACATATTTTAACCATATTAACGAATATATTTGACTCTAATGACCAATAAATATATATTTTTAAATGGATACAAATTTCTTTGGAGAGCCATCAGTATTCAGCCATCATATTCATATATCAAAATAGATAAGTTTTTTTTTGGTGAAATCAAAATAGATAAGTTGATCTGGTCTTATATGGTGCACGCATGTCAATCATCTTTAAGTTGAACGAATTAAAAGTAGTTGACAAATTAAGGTGGGGGTATTGAACGAGTGAATTTGGAAGAATTTAATAGAATGTTAAATTCTAGTGTTATTCAACAAGGTATTTTATGAATTCTTTTAAATTCTTCTGTTATTCAATTTCTTAATTTCTTAATTCTATCACATGCAAGTGTTATTCAATATTATGTAGTTTTGGATGAAAAAGTTATTTGACAAGAATTTAATAGAAATTCTAGTGTAAAATGTAAAGAACATATTCTCAGCTTTTAGGTTGTGATTTTGAAAGAATTA